TTGCTTCAAAAGCATAATTTCAAGTGAAGTGGGGGATAGAAGTGAGAAAGCAGGGGATGGGGGCTGGTTCAAGCCAGTGAGGGTCTTTCACATGCGAGGCACTGAAGCCACACACAGCCTGACCGTCCTGCAACAGCAATTGGATCAGTCCTTCCTTCCTTCTTTCACCGTTTCTTTGTTTGCACATGCTGCTCAAGCAGCTTCTCTCACATTCCAATTGTGCAATGGGGTCTCCTTTTTGTATCGATTTGCAACATACCTTCCTCCATAAAAGCCAAGGTCGGAGCTGACATGGATGTGGAGGATCTTTCTGTTCTCAGCATCTCTGAATGGAACACCTCGCCATTTACCGGCAACCTCGATTCTCCACTAAGGTTGCAACGGATTGCTTGTACAGCAGACGCCCCCTGTAATACACTTGTCGCCCATACCATGCTGAGGACGAGAACAAAGTTTCCCGAAGGAGAAGCCTTTCGGCGATGAAGATTCTTGGTTTGTGCCCTTTACTGCATTCCGGCTCTCAAATCGCAAGTGTTGCTTTCATACATTCCTGAAACTGGGAATTGTTCTTTTCAGGGAAGAAGTTCAGCATGGTTTTGTCATGAGGAGCTGATGCCATCCTCTAATGGTCAGAAATGTCGCTGTGGTCCTTTTTATCTCGCTTTCTTGTAAGTGGGGCCAGAGATCGCAATGGAGCTCCGAGGCCAGCTAGTGATCCATCCCCAACCTGCAGACTTTTTGTTCACAAAAAGAGGCTTTGAGGTGAGTGACAGCTTACGTGAGACAGTATTCGAGTAACCAGCACCGCATACAGTCATGGCAAGTGGATTTCTTCATTGAGACGTGGGAATCGTAAGGAAACAACCATGCACGGTCTAAGAAGCGTGGGTCAGGGTCACCCACAAATACGTAACGCCGCAAAAATGGTTGTCTGTATATGCAAATACATACGTACGTACACACACACATGTGACAGGATTCTGATTTGTACTTGATCTGGAAATTACCAACAAAATAGCATCAGCACTGTATTTCTGACTATTAGTTTTACACACCAAATGGCCTCATTGAGAGATGATTCGAGTCCTCATAGGCAGCCACTGATATTTAGATGTGAATGCAGGATAATGGAAATTAGCCCAAATATCATATCTCAACGTGAGTAATGCATGTCAGCATGCACTGTAAGTGTGCCGGGAATACTTCTATTTCTCCTAGTTCTAGAATATTGGTATGTGCACTATAGGAGCTGCACTTTGCGTGCCATGGAAACACAAGTTGTGGCATCAAGTTCCATATTCCGTGGGCATTTCCCTCGGGTACCAATTTCTTTCATGAAAATTCTTAACAGTATCATACAAATCGATTTCTCGACATGGTGCTGCTGATTGCTGCGAAGCATATCAGGGAAAATGTCCTGATCTGATTGTACAACTGCCGGGCCAATCCCATTCTGCGACTGAGTGTATTTTATTATCATAAAATGCTCTCATCCGGCAACTTCATTCTCTCAGAAGCTGTGGACTGTCCAATTCTGTTAATTGAGTTCAGAGACTCCTGCATTACTTGGAGATCCTGGTGCGCTCTTTCTGTTGTGATCCTGGAATGGAAATGAATGAATTCTTCTCCTGGTTCTAGAAGAATTTATTGAGCTGAAAAATACTGCTCCAATTGCTGCTCACAGCTAAGATTAGAGTGGTGATAATTTCAAGAAGCGTGGCGAAAGGAGTTGACTCAGTTTCTAGCTTCGTAAACATTTCAATCCTCTTCTAAGTTAAGTTGCTTTCGTGCGAAAAGAATCGAAAAAAGAGGCTAAGGCGGTATGTATTGCGTTGTTTGCCGAATGTGACTAAGCTGTACTTTGAAAAATTGTAAATAAATGTGAATTTTTGCAACATTGTTGTTGATCCACAATACTTGGATAATACTATTATTTATTTTTGTATATGTTTACAGATATTTTTTATTTATTAAGAACAAAAAAATAAAAATTAAAAACATCAAAAAAAGTGCCCCACACAAGAACAATGGATGCAACTTGGTAGAAAGTATGTTTAAGAATCAATAAGATCAAGTACTTGCTTCTTTGTTGATTCTAGTTAGAAGAATATCTTGACCAGAAATCTCGGTCACTAGTGAAACTAAAATTGACTCAAATCATGAACATTAATTATAAATCATGGTCAATGTCTTGGTATTAACTTTTATTTCTAATATTTTATTTATTTTTAAATAAATTATATTCCAATTTCATTTCAACATTTATAACCATATTGGCCAACAAGTCTTACATCACACTGTTGGTTGTTGTACTTTATGTACATTAACTTAACTTATACAATATCAATACTTTCCATGAGTTGTATGGTTCCAATGATATCCACGGTCCATTGGCTTATTTTCATAAACTTGGTGCAGTTGTGGGTTACATCTCTTAATTTCATGAGCCAGTTTTTATTCTTTCAAATTTATATATATATATATATATATATATTTTTTTCTTTTTTGTATCTATGATTGTTTTGAATCATAAAATACTCACATATCAATGATTCATTTATATCTTTTTAAAATTTTATGAAGAAAAAAACTTAAAAACCAGTATATTGTTGAGATAGTACATGATTTTTATTTTATCATTGGTGAGTATTTAAAACCGATGATTCTCATATGTTGGCTGACAACATTAACTAAAAAAAAAGGCAAGATTGATCCTAAAACTCAATTTATATACTTCAAAGCTCCTATTACTACATTGCATAGAAATCATCTATCTCACTTCAAAACTTGTTATTAGTTTTAAAAATTAATTATAAACTTGATGTTAGGATTAAGTGGAGTGCCCATAAGTTTTTACTTTTTCATGTTGTACTTGCATTGGCTCATAAGAAAAGTGTACAATTTACAATAATACTCATTTTGCTCATTTGATGGCATGTTTGATATATATATATATATATATATATATATAGATATATTGGTGTGTGTGTGGCAAATTACAGATTGAGAAATTCTTTAGCATTTTTACTACCAAACTAAAATTTCAATTGTAAGAAAAATATTTTTAAGATATCAAAATGGGTGAATCTATAAAATATTTTAGATCTTTAGAATAAAATTATTTTATGTAAAGTTTTAATTTAAATCAGTAATAAACATATTTTTTTTTTACATATATATATTTATATATATGAATGAGTAAAATTAACAACCCTGAAATTCGATTTTGTTACTTTTTAAAATTATTTGACAATAATTTTTCTGTTGTACTTGTACATGAAAAAATAAAATACCTATATCAATATATATATATATATATATTTATATTTTGTAAGACACCCCAGTGCTAATCTAAATACAAAAAACTTTAATGTATTGATAACAAAATTAACAGTTGAATTGAACAAGGTGATAAAAAATGATTTGATACCTATTATTTTGTTGAAATAATATTTTTTAAGATTTATAGAATGTCTTTCTTTCAAAAAGATTAAATTAAAATTCTGGTTAACTATATGTATTATATTACATAATTTAAAATTTCAATAAATAATGACCCAAATCCACTTAACTAAAAAACTTGAAATAAGAGGTATTTGTCTTTGTTTATCCATCCATAAGTTTATTTTAAAGGAATTGATAAAGACTAAAATAATACTTGTATTAGTGAGCTGAATGGTAGCAATGTGCAATGCAATGGCATCGTGCTTGGTGTTGTGCTTCTTGTTTAATGAAATCGACATTGTAATAGAAATAATACAAATAAAGTGTTGCATTAAAGTGGTGCAAAATTATCCAAATAGATGGTTGATTTTATAACTGCACAGATGGTCTTTTTGATAGAAGCACACAAACTAACAAATAAACATCATTGAGTTTAATATAATATAAAGTGTGTGTGTGTGTGTGTGTTTTCTTTTTTTTCATCTTTTATAATTTTTCAGTGTTTGTCAACAGTACATTATAATTGTAACTCAATTCAGATAAAAATACATGCATATAGTTTTATTTTATTGTATATATATATATATATATATATATACCTACATATATTGAAGTATTGTAGTAGTAGATGTATTAGAAATGTGATTGGTTCACAAATTAAAAAATTTCAATTCCAAAATCAATACTAGTAAGGTTTCCAAAACAGTACAAAGTTGTACTTTTTACATAAGGGAATCTTGCAAATTCAAGAAAAAATAGACATTGCATTTTAAGAAAATTTATTCAAAAATGTGAAACAATATGGAGCACACAATAATTCTACACGTACAAATAATAAATAATATAAGATCAAGATAGTTCTGCCAAAGAGTAAAATGTATTCTAAGATTACAAAACTATCATAATTCACTTTGCAAATAATGTAAACATCAATTTATTTTTTTAATAATTTTTATTTGGAATGGTTACCAAACAATTGAATGACATCATTTTGGCGCTGGTATCGTTTTAGGAGAATAATTTAAGTGTAAGTAACACACTTAAAAGAGGATTTTAGGTTCATAGTGCTTTTGAAATACAGTTTTCTTCAGTCACGTGATATTATTGTTATTATTATTGCCTTATAATTCCTGAAACACTCCAACGAGATATCCAGAATAAAGCTGTAATATCTTTTTTATTTACAATATTTTACGTTGGCTTTTAAGAAAATTTACGTCAAAAATCTATTCTAATGTTGTTATAAAACATAATATATATATTTTAAATTTATTATAAAATTTTAGATTAAAAAAAATACACCATAATCAACACTAAATACGATATAGTGTATCTTCCCTAATTGGTGTTTGCTCATTGGTTGATCAGCACGAAATCGTGGCCGTAGATCGAACAACTGACAGATGTGCGGCTTATGCAACAGAAACGTGCCGGAAGCCAGTTTACCTGAGGTAAGAGTGGAAGAATGAAAACGTCATATGGGAGAAGTAAAAAAGGCAAAGGGAGCCAACAGGAGATAGGGGATACTTTCCTGAGAGCCGCGGTGCTTTTTCACCTTTGATTCGCGACTTCGTTCATGCTCGCGTTTCCATGAGCTTTGTTTGTTATCAGGGTTTCAGCTTCTACTTCATCGTCTGCGACTGCGATTTGCGTCGCAACATACCTCATCGCATCGCAGATTGACCTTGCTTGATATTTGGTGTGTACCACATCGGAGGATTACTGGATCTCTACGTTCTGATTTGGAGGAAACGGTGCGCCGGACGATTGATTGTTTCTGTTTGGAGAGTGAGTTGAAGTCTTGCGATTCCGCCATGGCGACTCCCGCAGCTGAACATGCTGGGGAATCGTCGGATCCGTAATGATCTCTTGCACCTGGATTGCCTCTGTTGTGTGCAGGAGTGAGTTTTTTTGTGGGAGGTTTGGATGCGGTGGTCGTGTTTGAGCTAGGGTTTGAATCGCATCCTGAATTCGATGTGGTTGGGTGAAGGATTTGAAATTGACGTGCTGTGTCGAGTGTTTTGTTCGCAGGAACCCGTTGTGGTATAGTAATTGAATCGGTGATTATCGCGCAGTCAGCTTAGGCTTCCTGGCCAATTGGCCGTATCCGATTTCGCGGTGCTATCTTTCAATGATGTGCCTCGAAGTATGTTAGATTAGGGTATTAGCAGGCAAATTCTAATTCGATTTTTGATCGGTGGTTGTGCACAAGCCCAGAATATTGTGTTTTTGGAAGTGCGAAGGTTTGTGGGTTGCAGAATTAATTGCAGAATCCTCCACAGTGCCCTAGGTGCTAAAACTTAGTGTCGGGAGAGTACTCGATGTCTGGCATGGCCTGGAGCCCTATCTTGATTACACGTTTTAGAACAGTTGGGGTTGTGATTTGATTGCGTTGCAAAGCTTGAGCTTCGTGATTGCTGATGCATGTTGAGCATAAGGATGGTCCTTCAGATTGCTATGGGCAACATTCTATGTTGATCTCGGGTTTGCTGTGTCTTCATCCATATTCGTGTTTAAGGTTTACCTTTTCGTTTGTTGATGTCAATTGTGCACTGTCCGCACCGACCACCACCATTGATGATGCCTTTGTAGTAGAGTAAGTAGGTTAACTGTGCTACACTTGCAGTAAGCATATCAAGTGGTGAAATTTGGCTATCAAGTGGTTTCTTGCTAGTACTAATTCTTCTTACTCAAAGATGACGCTATAGTCTTGAAGGCTGAGGTACTATCAGTTGTGTAGTATGAAGCAGATGCTGTTGCCGACGGTGTTTTGGAGGATTGATTCAGAAATTTGTATATATATATATATATATATTCAGAAATTTATATATATATATATATATAAGGCTTAATGGAGCTGTAGCACCTTGTGGATCTTTTATGTTCTGGTCTTAGGTGGACTTATTGTTTGTGCTCACCGATCATTTTACGTTTTTGTTGATGCAGCAAGCCAGCTTCTAAAAAGGACTTTTCCACTGCTATTTTGGAGCGTAAAAAGGCTCCGAACCGCCTGATTGTTGATGAGGCTGTAAATGATGATAATTCTGTTGTAGCTTTAAACATGGAGATCATGGAAAAGCTTCAGCTTTTTCGTGGAGATACTGTGCTGATCAAGGTTTATCTTATTATCCTTCATGTGAATTGTCCGCTTGTAACCTTAACATTCACCTCAAAAACTATGTTCGTTAGATTGTATTAATTGAGCTTGTGGATGTTTTTAAACCAACAGAGTGCTATATTTTTTTATATCTAATTTTATCAGAATTTATTGTGTTTTGCAGGGCAAGAAACGCAAAGATACTGTGTGCATCGTCTTAGCAGACGATACCTGTGACGAGCCTAAGATTCGGATGAATAAGGTGGTGAGGGCCAATCTACGAGTACGCCTTGGAGATGTGGTTTCAGTTCATCAATGTGCAGATGTCAAATATGGCAAGCGAATTCATGTTCTTCCGTTTGATGACTCGATCGAGGGTGTGACTGGAAACCTATTTGATGCCTATCTGAAGCGTAAGTTCCAATTCATTTTTATTATTGATTGCTGTTCTTTTGTTTTGTTCTTTAAGTCAAATATTATATTGGGTGCAATATCGCTGCATTGAACCGAATTTTCATTCGATTATGAAGTGCTTACCAAGGATTTGTATGTTGGAGAGCAGCCTACTTTTTGGAGGCTTACAGGCCAGTTCGCAAAGGCGATTTGTTTCTGGTACGAGGAGGCATGAGAAGCGTGGAGTTTAAGGTTGTGGAAACAGATCCTGCAGAGTACTGCATCGTTGCTCCTGATACAGAGATCTTTTGCGAAGGCGAGCCTTTGAGGTCAGCTAGTTTCGGAATCTTAATTATTTAAATTCGAATTTACATGGAGTATTTGCACGGAACGTTGGTCTAAGCTTTCTTTTGAGTGGTTTCTTGTCTGAGAGCATTAAATGTCTATCAAAACATTCTGATTTTTTTAGATTAGCAAGATTGCTTATTGTCGGCACTTCTTGACAATTACGATGATTTTTATTTTTTTTCTATTCCTTGTATTCAGGCGTGAGGATGAGGAAAGATTGGATGAGGTTGGTTATGACGATGTGGGTGGAGTCCGCAAGCAGATGGCCCAGATTCGTGAACTTGTAGAGTTGCCTCTGCGTCATCCTCAGCTTTTCAAGTCCATTGGAGTAAAGCCTCCTAAGGGCATCCTTTTGTTTGGTCCTCCTGGTTCGGGAAAGACATTGATTGCTAGAGCTGTGGCCAATGAAACTGGGGCATTTTTTTTCCTCATCAATGGTCCTGAAATCATGTCAAAGTTGGCTGGTGAGAGCGAGAGTAATTTGAGGAAGGCTTTTGAGGAGGCAGAGAAGAATGCGCCATCAATCATTTTCATTGATGAGATTGATTCTATTGCACCCAAGAGGGAGAAAACCCAAGGCGAAGTAGAAAGGCGAATAGTATCTCAGTTGTTAACTCTCATGGACGGGTTGAAATCTCGTGCTCATGTCATTGTTATGGGAGCTACCAACCGGCCGAATAGTATTGATCCAGCACTACGCCGTTTTGGTCGGTTCGATCGTGAAATTGACATCGGGGTCCCTGATGAAGTTGGCCGGCTTGAAGTCGTTCGTATTCACACTAAGAATATGAAGCTTGCTGAGGATGTTGATCTGGAGAAAATAGCTCATGATACTCATGGGTTTGTTGGTGCTGATTTGGCGGCATTATGCACAGAAGCAGCGCTGCAATGCATTCGGGAGAAGATGGATGTAATAGACCTGGAAGACGAAACAATCGATGCCGAAGTGCTTAACTCTATGGCTGTAACGAATGAGCATTTCCAGACTGCACTGGGTATCAGCAATCCGTCTGCCCTTCGGGAGACAGTGGTTGAGGTGCCGAATACTACCTGGGAGGACATTGGGGGTCTGGAGAATGTCAAGCGGGAGCTTCAGGAGGTATTCTATATGTTTTGGTTTTTGACGTGAAAGCTTATCTAAAACTCGGAACGCACAGCTTCGAGTTCGATTTTGAGCTATAGATTGGACAATTCAGTACTCATTAGTTCCTTCATTTCTTACTGTTACAATGTCTTCCGAATTATGCTTCTTTACTTTTTATTATATGATGCTATTGAAATTTTTGGATGCGTCAGTTCTTCTAATTGTTTTTATGCATTCCCTTGGCAGACTGTGCAATATCCAGTGGAGCATCCTGAAAAGTTTGAGAAATTTGGAATGTCGCCTTCTAAGGGTGTGTTGTTCTATGGTCCGCCTGGATGTGGAAAGACGCTCCTCGCCAAGGCAATCGCCAATGAGTGCCAGGCCAATTTTATTAGTGTGAAGGGACCTGAGCTTTTGACCATGTGGTTTGGCGAGAGCGAAGCGAACGTACGAGATGTATTTGACAAGGCTCGCCAGTCAGCTCCTTGTGTCCTCTTTTTTGATGAGCTAGATTCTATCGCCAATCAGGTAAGACTGGAAGGAAATATTTTTGCAGCACTTTAATATCTTGTCAAGCAGAATAAAATCTACTGGATCACACAGTTTTAATATTTGTGTCGCGTGTAGCTTATGTTTGCCATGCACGCCTTGCTGGTAGGAAATATGAGTATTCCTTCTTTGTCATAAGTTCTGACCATTTCTTCCGTGATTGCTTGTGCAGCGTGGCAGTAGTCAAGGCGATGGTGGTGGCGCTGCTGATCGCGTCTTGAACCAGTTGCTTACAGAGATGGATGGTATGAACGCGAAAAAGACGGTGTTCATCATTGGTGCAACCAATAGGCCTGATATTATAGACTCTGCACTACTTAGGCCTGGACGTTTGGATCAGCTCATTTATATTCCTCTACCAGATGAAGCTTCTCGCTTGAGAATTTTCCAAGCAGCTTTAAGGAAGAGTCCTTTGGCCAAGGAGGTGGATTTGGAAGCCCTGGCCAGGTACACACAAGGTTTCAGTGGTGCGGATATCACTGAAATCTGTCAGCGCGCTTGCAAGTACGCCATTCGTGAAAACATTGAGAAGGTAAGTTTTTGCTTCCACTTCATGTCCCTTCATTCATACAACTCTTTGGTCGAAGTTTTATTTTGCATCCCACTTACGGCAATTATATACTATGTGTATTAATTTATCTTGGGACTAATGCGTTCTATATGTGAGTATACTTTTCTACACCAAGAGCATTTGCAGTTTTATTGAACGGAAAACCAGCAGAATGTTGATACTCGGTGTCTCAACCACCATGCTTTCTTATTGTAGGATATTGAGAGGGAAAAGAGAATGGCAGAGAATCCCGAAGCTATGGAAGAAGACGAGGTAGAAGAAGTTGCGCAGATCAAGGCATCCCACTTTGAAGAAGCAATGAAATATGCTCGCCGAAGTGTAAGTGATGCTGACATCCGCAAGTACCAAGCGTTTGCTCAGACTCTGCAGCAGTCGCGTGGATTCGGATCGGAGTTTCGATTCCCAGATCGTGCAGTTGGTGCAGGAGCACCAAGCGCTGCCGACACTACTCCGGGATTTGGTGTAGCAGCTGCAGCTGATGATGATGATTTGTATAGCTAGATCTGTGAATGAATTGAGCTGCTTCCAGACAGTTTTCATGTTCAGTTGGTACAAATTTTGCACAGATTCCACTCGCCTCCAATGCGAAATGAGAATTTTTATCACTTTGTTCCAATCTTGGTAATTTGTTATTAATTTGTTAAAATTTGTAAACGATCTGTATTCATCGAAGACCACAAAATAGAACACCTTTATTTCATCTTTAAGAGCTGGATAATGTCGACGAATGACATTGTCAGAAGTCAAAAGCACAGAAGTTGGAAAATGTTGACTAGAAAAATAATGAAGAAAGAGATTGGAGAACGCATATATTGGACGCTTAGTTGCCATGTAGAACACAGGCAGTGTTGAAACGCACAAAGATTAACCTCAATGATTGATTCGTGCACCTTAGTAGTATTGGGTGATAAAATAATAACGGCTTAAATCATTAACAAAAATTTGCAGTTAGAGAACTACAATTGGAACTGCAATCTTCTCGTGCATGTTGCCATCTGCAAATCCCGTAACAGTGTAACGAATGGTAAGAGGAAAATGATTGTGTCTCGCAGGTGTGGAGGTCTACAGGAACCTGGCAGCTGGTAACACCTTTCACCGATAAAGTTTGGATCCAAAAATAGCTTAACGTTTAAATTACACGTACAAGCCAAAGTGCTCATTCTGTTATGATCTTCAACATGAGAAACCTGAATTACATTTCAGTTTCAGCTCGTTAAGATACAGCCCCTATAGCTCTACAAAAAGTAGCCAGAGTACTTCCAGCTTCCATATTCATAACACCTACAAACCTAAAAGTACCTCATCGATGGACACCTGTGATACAGTTGATCAGATAAGCTGCGCTTTCTTGAGATCTGATGCTATACTTCTCTTCTCATCTCCTTCTACGTACAGAACCTTGTCAATGATGCCGTAATCAACAGCTCCATCCGGCTTGAAGTATTTCGGCCGCCTGATATCACCTGTTATCTTCTCAGGAGGTTGTCCTGTGTGTCTTGAGAGCAACTTCACGAACTCTTCCTTCACGTTACGAACTTCCTTCCGAGCAATGTCAATATCGGTTGCTTGACCCCGGAACTGAGCTATCGGCTGCTTGAGCATGATCGTTGCAGAAGGCAAACAAGCCCGGTTTCCTTTGGAGCCTGCCGCCAGCAAAAGAGCCGCTTCACCCCAAGCATTACCCACACACAACGTAAAGATGGGAGGCTTCATGTAGCGCATGGTGTCGTAGATGGCGAATGCTTCAGTTTCATATCCCAGCTTCTCACCATCTTTGGTGGTACCTGTAGAGTTGATATACATGTAAATAGATTCCTCAGGATCATCGTATTGCAAGTAAAGCAACTCCGCCATGAAAAGTTCTGTGAAGGCAGGGACGAGTGACATTGCTAAGAAGACAATCCGGTTCTTGAACAAATATGACGGCAAATCTGGAGGTGGCTGTTGCCGAGCGTCTCCCCGCTGAAATGGAATGACCATGGTCACAACGCCGCTGCGACCACAACTCTGTGTCCTCTTCAATGACCTCCAAGCTGAAAACATTCCCTCACCGGCTATGAAGCTCTGCATACTGCTGTGCACGAAGGGGCACGAGAACTCGTTGTAGAGACGTTGCGACGAGGGCGTCTTTCTACAAGCCCTTGACATTAGCATGTAGCCATCACTCCTCCTCGTGGACACAGAACAAACTTTACGTATCAATGATAGAGATGAAGACGACGGTGCAGGATGCCATAAGTCAGCTCTTGAACGTGCTGCGGGTGGCACTGCTAACCCCGCTTTAATGACCTCCAGGGCAGCCATCGCACCCTCCTCTCTTCCCCTACGAAAATTTAATCCCTATTCAAGCAACGAAACAATGCCCTTACCTACACAAACCTCTGCAGCATCGATACAGTTACCGATTAAATCCCAAATTCAACAATTTTCATTTCCAAACTTCTATCTCTTCATCAAGAGGGAAAATGAATAAAGTATAGTGAAGTGACTCTTACAACGGCTTCACAATCTAGGGACGGAGTTGCAAACAGTCAGACCTGAATTATACTCTGAATATTATGAAACCAACTAAAATAACACATCTCTGTTGAACGCAAAATGCGTTGACAGAACGACAAAATCCAGAAAACTCGAATGCAGCAATTCCACCAAAAAAAGACAAAAAAGAAAAAAACGAGTACACAACCTACGCTCTTCCAAATGAGCTCTCAATCGAAGAAAAACTAATGAAATCCAAAATTTTAAACAGACTTGCAGTGTTGCACGGCCGATGTCTAACCTAACCCAGAATCCAAGCTGAGAGGTAAACCCCCAAATGCGACCTTGCCTTGCAGAGAGCGGGGTCCAATTGACAACTTCTGAAAAAAGATGTAGAATGTGGAGGTCGAGAAAACTGAGAAAATTGAGAAGTGGGTAGTGTGGCAATTCATCACCCCAGGCCCCGCGACGTCGAAGACGACAAAGGCAATCCTCTCTCTATTTCCAAAGTGTTTCTCGCGGGCAGACCGTAGGCAGACCGTGGGCAGCCCGGAACAGAATAAAAGTCCAAGGCTACGCCAAACAGTATAGCGGGTCCAAGTTTAAAAGAGTTCATACAAATATTGAGGTAAAGCTGAATTCCTTGACTACTGGGAACGTTTGATTGGAGTATCCAGTCGTTATACATAGTTAAATATATGTATATATATATATATATATATATATAAAAGGGATACATAGGTATTCATATATATATGTATATATACATAGTGTTAAATACTCAGTTGTACCTTTTTAGCTATAAAAATATAAGTTCACTTGAATGCTTAATTAAGTTTTAAAATTTTTAAGATGTTTTATTCTATTAATTTTTTAATTTGATGAAATATGTATATATCTATATATACATGTATATAAAGGGGAATGTTAAATAGACCCATGCTTTTATTAAATAGACCCACTCTTGATGAAGAATATGGTATTCATGATGAATGTGGTTGATTATTATTGGTTGCATATCAAATAATGGAGAAATTGATCTAGAAAACATTATTTTTTCTTATGATGGTTAGGATGGGTGGATAAATTTAGTAAAAACTTAGATCTATTTAACATTCTCTTATACACACACACACACACATATATATATATATATATATATATGCAAATATATACATAAATATAATTGATATCACGTAGTTTTGATAATATGTCAATATTATGACTTGTATACTTGCTAATCAAAGAAACAAATATATTAGATAGAATTATTTTTTTGGAAAATAGAATAAACTTCTAAAAACTAAAAAATATTGGCAAGCTTATTTGTGTATCACATTAAATTATTTAAAGATTTGATCTAATAAATTTTTGAATCTGTTGAGACACTTTTATTTGATATAAATTTATTATTTTATAACCATACTCTATTTATTTATTTATTTATTATTTTTTAAATAAAATTAAAGAAATATTTTTATCACATGTAAAGAAAAAATAAATTAATTAATATTTGAAGCATTATTTTAATATCTTAAGTTTTATGCATTATACATATAAAGCTTAAAGAAATAATTAATTGATATTCTTTGCTTGAAATTAGTAGTATACATAAATTTTTTCCTAAAAAATAAGAAGTGTAATAAAAATAGATGTATTATAATTTATGCTAATATATATAAATTAAAAATTATGTAATAATTTATAATTATTATTACTATTAATAGTTATCTTATCTTTTATAGATATAGTAATATATTTAATTTTAATTTATAAATTAGTAGTTGCTTTAGAAAGTACCTTAGAAAGTGCATTATTATTAAATTTAAAGATATAATTGTATCTTTAAATTTAATAATAATGCAATAATTGTATCTTTAAATTTAATAATAATAAATTTAAAGATATAATTTAATAATAATGCAATAATTGTATCTTTAAATTTAATAATAATAAATTTAAAGATATAATTGTAAGATATATATATGATACCAAAATATATTACACTACTTATATAATAAAATTTAGGAGTTTTTATTTTTATTTTTTAAAATTTAATACTGTACTAAAAATCCTTGATACTATATATATATATATATATATATATATATATATATATCTTGGCATTAGAATATTTTAAATTTTTTTAGTGATAATATGTTATAATAAATTAAAAAAATGTAATATAAAACAATAAAATTTAGATAGATATATCGATAAATAAATCCATATAGATACAAATTTTTTTGCTTTATTTAAATAAATTTATATATTTTTTAATTTAATTTATTTTACTTAATATATATAATAAAATTTTAATCTTCAAATATCTTACAATAAATAAAAGTAATTAAATATCTATCTTTAGATATTGAAAAAATATTAGATTTGGAGTTAATTTGTAATAAAGCAATGTATAATTATTCATATAAAAAAATATTGGTTTAGAAAATAAGAACCAAATGCAATGAATGTTTTTTCTTAAGATTTATTAATTATATTAGAAAATATAAGTTTTATTAAAAATTATCTTTGTTATAGCTTAAGAAAATGTTTTATATATAAGGATCGTAAGTTCATTTTTACAATAAAAGATACCTTTTCTAATTTAGAATCAAGTCATAATTTTAGTAATGATTACATGTAGTGTAAATTATTTTACAACAAGGGATATTTTATCATGTAAATCATGCCTTGAATCCAATAACTTCATTATGTAAGCTCCAAATTTTAGCTTTAGGTATTGAAACAAGATCAATTTATCTCAAGTGTCCAAGATCCTTCTAATCCATAGTAGTATTAAACCTCATCACAAAGTAGGACAAAATAGATCACAATAAAATTAAACATAACTAAATAGAATAAGATACAAAAGACAAAATTGAACAAATAAAAATAAAATAAATCAATATTAAATAAGAAGATGCAAAATCAAATTTTACTAAGAAAAAATATTTGAAGCCATATCTAATCAGATGCCCTAAAAGGCCTTGACTAGTTCTATTTATATTTTTTTTTACTACCCTTGACTTTTTAGAATGTTCTTAGATGATGGATTCTACTTAAATAATCACCTTAAATTCTTCTTAGTAGGTTCTATGGTGGATCTAATTTAGATAACCACCTTGAGTTCTTTCTAGAAGGTTCTATGATAGACTCTATCTGGATAATCGCTCTAAGTCTTTTCTAGAATGTTCCATGGTGGAAACTACATAGTCCACTAATCAAGCCTCAATTCTAGAAACTTCTATAACTTCTCAAATATGGTTCCAACTATCTATTCTTTTATATCAATAATACAAATAACTTATTTATAATCTATTATACTTAATTTCCATCCACTAATATGGAATGTCCTTGTTTTGCTCTCGATGGTATTTCTATATTATTTCTTAGCAATGGATGAGGTTTTATACAGATTCTCACATTACATCATAGATAAGATAAACTTTCCAAAGAACTTTGTATTGAAGTTGAGTACGTCTACTACTACGGTGTCATATTACATGTCGTCCTATTTAGAAATGCATCAAGCATCTGGATCTAGAAGGTGAGGTTGTATTTTACAAGTTTTTAAGAATCCTAATATATTTTGCCCTTATAAGAAGAATGTAATTTGAATTTTAATTCAAAAGTGGTTAAATTCAATATAAAGTGCTCAAAAATACTCTTCTTAGTAATTTCAACCATACATAAATTCCAATTTCTTTATTACTTTTATAATTAGGTAATTTTGATTTTTCTTTGCAAGCCCTAATCTTAATTAGTAAGCTTTAGCAAGTTGTAGCTCATAATTTAACTATCTACTTGGAGCAAAATTTTGTATACAAATGCCTCTATAAATCTTCTATACGAAAAAAAACATTCACTTTAATCTAACTTATAGATTGTGAGATAACGCCCAAAAATCACATTGATGTTACTTGACTGCCAACTTGAAAGTTGATGCAAATATTCTAGTAGTGATTTCTCCTTCTTCAACTATTAACTTTAATTCAAAATTGGTATATAGCTTGATCTTCAAGTCTTCTAACACCAAGCCAAATTTTACTTTGATCCAATTAGTAGATCTTTAGATATCAAAGAAATTCTATTCAACCATAAACTGCCAACTTCTGATACCTTCTTGAATCAAAATCTAGATATCTTTTGACTACACTATTAGATTAGTAAAAAATTTCACATATAATTAGCACATCCAATTAACCAAATATTTTTGAATTTTGAACTATAGATGTAACATTAATTTTATGAACTAATTGAGGGTCTTAGCCCTAATTGTATTCCATAAATTCCAAGTTGTTAATACAAATCTTGACTTTGAAAAATAATTGCTAAGTCAAATCAAATCTTAAAAAAACAAATCTTATATCTTTAAAAGAAGATCTAAGCTAGCTCTTCAATCTTAATTGCTGATCTTTAAATGCCTCCTTATTTTGTCTTAGATTGTTGTTTTAGTAACTAAAGATTTGATTTTGATTGTGTCTTACAAATGGTCGACCCTTAGATATCAACCTATCCTATCTTATGGATTTTTTAGTCCAATCCTATCCTCAATTTAATCCTATTATCAACCATGCTAATTATTTATATCTTTTAATATTATTTTATTAATTTATGGTCTTTCTAAGGCAATAAAAGAGTTTCTATAGCCTAGAAGGTAAAATTATTAATCAAACTTTAACCTACTAACTATTAAGACAAAAAAATAAACTAAGAGGCTTTTATAAAAGCCCTATTTAAATATCTTGAATTATTATTAAATTAAGATAATTAGTATTAATTAAAAATTTATTTTTGATTATATTTTTATCATATAGTAATGTTACAATACGATAATAACAAAGGTAGTAATATTCTAAAATACTATCCTCTTCATATTTTTTTTGGTCCTCAATTACAATTAGTGGTAGTGGTAGTTGGCATCAATCTAGAAAGCGCTTTGATTTCATATGAAATTCCTTCAGTTGCAAAATATGGAAGATTGGATGAACCCAAATATATGGCAGAAACTCAAGGTAGTATGTGACATCAGAAATCATTATAGAAGTGCGGAAAGATCTAAGCCATCAAGATGCTAGTTTATAAATTTGAATTGATGTAACAAGTTGAAAGTTGGTATTGGAGAATAACACCTGATTATCCTCTTAGAAGGTCTTGTCTTGCTCGTGGTTATCTGCATATTTCTTTTGTCAATTTTGTGTAATAAGGAAGTTATGCCATGCTTCTTGTAAGGCTATTGTAAGCCATTATATAAACTCATTTGTTGTACATTTGTTAGTATTGAGAGAATGATGGAAACTTGTTGGCATAATTGGATGTTGATTGGTATTAAGAAAAAATAGTGATTGATTAGTACTTGCTTGAATACTTTATTATAAGCAAAATTTAAGGACATCAAATATTCATCCCAATCATTATGATGAAATACTACAAATTTCCAAAGCATATCTTCTAAG